ATAACAAAATTATAGTCAAATGTAAGTTTAAAACAACATTTAATACAATACATACTCTACTATACAAGTGGTAAACTAGAGGAACGGTAGGCTAATGGGTGTTTGGAGTACTAAAGGGCTCAAACAGGAGTCGCAAAAGGTGTCCAATATTTGCGATGAATCTGTGGTAAACGAGACCAAAGGTTTACTGACAAAGTCCGATGAAAATGTGGTCTCTATTGATAAAGATATGGTTATCCCTGGACCAAATTCTTTACCCAATGTTACACCGGGTGACCAAGATAAAAAAGACAAGTTAGCGAAATCAGTGGATGAAGCAGTGGGATTATTTATCGCGATCATGGTAATATATATTTTTATTTATGACTACTACCGCCCATCGTATCCATCCATGGATTGTCCAGACGGTTGCCCTTCTACTATGGTTTGCCTATTTGGCGATTGTGTTGGCAAAAAGGATTTACCAGTCCCTCCATAGATGCCTGTCCTTCAACCCCGGTGAGTTCATATAGTTGCTTAATACTCTATAATACCAAAGTATTTACATTCGCTTTTAATATTTATATTACCGTGTTTAGAAATATAGAAAAACATAAATTGGCTTGCTATAGGAATAGGAATTGTCCAGGCTACCATAAATACCCACACAAGGAATATTGCATAAGGGGCTATTGTGTTAAAAGCAATACAACTATTTAAATGTACCTGTGCAATGTAATTTCTTGACACGGGTATATTGCAATACTAAACATAACCACATGATTTTTATTTAAATTTAATTTCTAGCAACTAAATTATTGTCATTGAATATGAAAAATAAGTTTTAAGTTTCATGTATATTCTAAATATTCATTATATAATTATATACTTAATTTATTTTTTTTGTTTATAATGTAATCATGTTTGCTGAATATTGTTTTAATTTTTACTAGATTTTAATAATAAGACTGGTATTGTTTTTGAAAAATTACTTGTTAATTGTTAATAACTTACGCTTAGTATATTATTTAAATATGTACTGTATGTCATTTAAGTTTAGTTACTTAGAATAAACACTCACTGGAATTACTTATTTATCATATACTTCTACTGTACTGTACTGTACCGGGCCATCGATTCAGGTGAGTACATTTAGTTGCATGATACACTATATTAAAAAGGTAATTATATTCATTTTTATATTACTTTGTTCAGAGAATTACGGAAAGCGAAATTGGCTTGCAATAAGCATAGGGATTGTCCATGCTAACATAGATATTCCCACGAGGAATATTGCTTAAATGGGTATTGACTCAATACTATTGAGTTATAATAACTAATTACAATATATTGATAAATATTATATGTATTTTTTGTGCACGTACTGAATGAAGGCGAAAATTATATTAATAAATTTTACAACTAATCTATTATCAATGATTTTTGTTTGCAAAATATCTCATCCAGTGAATTTAATTTACTTTATAAAAATATTCATTATAAATGATTCAAAATGAGGGTAAAGTGAAAGCAAATGAGATAAATACTCATGTTAAATAATTAGTTTAATGAATATTTAAAATAAATTCATTTTTATTTCACATATAAAATAAACTGGTTTACAAACTGTACCTGTGCAATGTAATTTCTAACACAGATATATATAAAATTATGCTAATGTTTTACAAATAATATTAATGTAACATTGTAAACTTAAGCACATGTATTTTTTATTTCATAAACTAATTGATTGTTATACAATATAACAAATAACTTTTAAATATTATATACTGTATAACTAATGTAAAGTTGCTATCTAAAGTATTCAAGGTTATTAACATAGAATTTTCAATATTAGCGCATTTCATAATAATAATGTAACACATACAGTACGATAGACAGCATAAACTAGTATGTCTAACCATAGCAACTAGCTACGCCCATGCACACTACAATATACTCAATAAAATGTGTTTTGAAAATATTTCTACTTTTCAATGAAATATATTTATACTACATTGTATAAGACATTATACAATTTATTATTACAATACGTTTGTTATACAAAATTGTACTTGTTAATGACTACTTTAACATTATTAAAATAAATTGTTGTAACAGAATTATACTTATATTTATTTTAAAAACTCAATTATGACCGGGTACGATTGTGACAGATTTATTGATTTGAGCGAGGTCGATCGGGAGGACCTGTCGTGCGGTATTTGTCGCAATATATTCAGGGATCCAGTGGTGACCCCATGTTGTCGGCAAACATTTTGTCGATACTGTATACGCAGTTGGCTTAGAGGTCATAGTGTATGTCCGTTTGACAGGTCCGGGTTAACTGTCACTGAGCTACAAAATGCACCCAGGTATGTAAATTGAGTATTTGTACTAATACCCCGCGAATTTTTTAAAAATTAAAAAAATATTAATATAATATTTTTGAACATAGTAATTAGTTTATGAAAATTTTAAAAAGTGTTTTAAAAATACAATTGTACAGGTATGAACTTTTAATATAATTACTAATTTTATTACCTAGGTCATTGGAGAACCTATTAGGGAGACTACAGATTAATTGTGACAATAAAGATAAGGGTTGTCAACAAGTCGTGTCATTAGAGAAATTAAAACAACACTTTAATGAATGCGAATTTAATGAACACGTATGCGATGAATGTAAATGCGAAAAGCAGCCTGATCATAATTGTGTTAAGGCTTTACTGGAGTTGAATGAGAAAGTTAATAAGGAGCTCGAGACAATGAGACAGGACAATTTGGCCATGAAAACAGTATTGCAGCAATTGTCGACTATATCAAAACTTTTTGATCCAGCACCAACAACATCTGAATCAGCACCTACATCACAAACGGCTATAATAAATGATCTGGAAAGTGGACCCCTACCGGACAGTATGAAAATAGTTTTATTATACAATAATAGATTCCTAAATGTTTTTAATATTTGTACTTGTCTCAATTATTAGGTGTCAAACAAAAATTGCCTGTCTGGAAAAAGTGTCCCATAGATCAGGTGCCTATTGAACACCGGGTATCGTATGATAAACAGATTAACGGCGAGACTGTATACGTGGGTCGCGTAAAGAACTTCTCTAATTTGTTGCCCGGAAAGGTACCTTGATATTAAACCATGATCTTATAATATATGATTAAATATACAAAATTAGTATTCAATTTAACTTTAACAAAAATTTTAACTTTATTCTACCGATTATTAGTATAGAAAAATTTTAAATATTGCAATTTGTCTACTAGTTCAGTATATTTTTGAAATATTATTTAAATTAGAGTATTTATTTTTAGAAAGCATATACAATTTTACATTCAAATATTTATACAGAGAATATATACAAATGTATATTTAATGAAATAAACTATAAATTATCCCTGGTCATTATACCTAGATCGTTCCATCACGAAACCAATGTCACGGCAGTGTAGGCGGTCGCGAGTATAAACACTCGGAGTACGAGGTGCTAACAAACCCGCATGGGGCTAATTTGTGCTGGGTACAATACGCCGGTAGTGGTATACCAGATGGTGCTGTATATGGTGGTCAAGAGTGGTCTCACGATCAGGCCTATCGTGGCACGGATGGTGAAACTTATATAACCCGGGCACTTGTGGATGGTGTCTGGGTAGCCGGCAAAATGCACGCTAAACAGGAGGGCCTAATGTGGTTCCCGAGTGAGGGGGATGAGCGGTCACATTATAACGAGTTTGAAATCCTTGTATTTAAAATTTAAATTATTTATTACAAACAATAATATTATATAATTTATTCAATATTTTGATAACTCTAATAATTAATTAAATAATTTTGATTCATTATTATTTTGGTATTTAAATTATGTAGTGCCGATATATTAATTTACTTATTTTGTTGTTATAACAAATTAATTATTTTATTTTAGTAAAACATTTTATTTTGTAATATTTAATTAAAAATTCAATTTGTAAGTGAATAAAATAGTTTTCGTTTATATAATAATTTGGACAAAGGTAATAATACTACTATTATACAATACTCTGTCTCAAGTCTATAAACAATGGGACCAAAAGTAATAAACTATTGATCATATTTATTATTATTTATAAAAAAAATTATTTCAAACTTAAAAATATATTTCAAATATTAAATAAAATTCAAACATTTATCATATGAGAGGCTTTGACACGAGACATATTATGCATATTTAAATTTTATGATAATTTAAATCAAACAATAATACTCACCTAATACTGTACAGTGAATGTATAATTTTTAAAAACTTAAAATTTAATTATTGATTAAAATTATTATTAATAGCTTATTATAACATAGACATACTTTTATAATGGCTTTTTAAAAATCATTTTTTGCATTAAATCTCTGATATGGTACTTTAAGTAATTAATTAAATGGGTTATTAAAGGTCCGAGTGTACTTAACATATTACATATTTTTATATAAAATATTATATGTTTTAACAAGTTATTTAATTTAATAATTTGCTATATTTACTAGTTAGTAAAATTTCTTATTTTAGTTTTAATAACTATTTTTATTAATTTGTATGGTATAATAACCGTGAAAGGTTAAAATAAATAAGATTTATCAATTCAATTTATTTTAATTTAAAAGAATTTTTAAAAACCTTTATAAAACTAATTATTAGAGTAGTTAACTTATTGTATAAGTAACATTAAGTTTTTAATTTTATGCATATGGACCATAAGTTGCTGAAATATACCTATAAATATACATTTCAGAAGGAAATTTTAGGATTAATATACATTAACAATAGCAAATATCAAAATTTTAAAATAACTAATTTGATACATTAAACTTATTATTTTATACACATATAAAATAAGTACAAAGTAATGTAAAATTATTCACTTTTAAACAACATTTTTAATAGTATCAACATCTGAAATTAACCCATTATTAGTATCAAGGTCTTTATCCATTTCCAACGTTTCAGTTCTACGCTTATCCTTAACATCCAATGTCTTATCAAATATGGCTTTCGATGCGATATTTTGTAGCCCAAGGAATGGCAACTCAAACCACGCGGTCAACGGTATCATAATGGCGTAGTCCAGGACCAAATACACCAGGGTATATGCTAATTGCATAGGTATTGCCCAGGCGTATATCTCATTAGTGGTCTCATGTGCTATTTTTACCTCGGGTATTAAATTCAAAAACTCGATGCCCAGCACCAGGTGATGTAGGTAGG